ATAATCATATGTACACGTATGTGTGTATAGAGATTTATATGTTGCATTTCTGAATTTGATTGCTGCCGTGAAGAAACTTTCGTCCAACCGTCAATAGCTGTAAAAAGAATAACAACAAAAACAAAAACAACAACTAGCGACGTTGACATCTTTGCACTCACCGTTAAGGGCAGATTGTTCTAGTCGTTGAGCAAACTTTATCATTAAGATACTAAACATACATCTAGGGTGTGTGTATCTATAGCTCACAAGAATACAGAATATCAGAAGAATGAAGAAGAGCAAAGTCGTATAAAAATATTAAAATGCAGTATTTTGTTTGCGCTAAAGAGTTGCACCCTAAGTGATTGCAATGGGCTACTGGGAGTTGCTAGGTGCAAAAAAGGCAGTAGCAACAACAATGAGACTATAACAATTTTAACAAAAATATACAAAAGATTTGATACAAGAACTTGTTTCGATCTGTCAGTTTGTATGACAGCTATATGCTATTGTGGTCGGATATTGGTGGTTAGGTGCAGATTTTTGGGAAGAAATTGACGTTTGCTATATTTCAGATCGATATCTTAAAAACTACATAAGTGTACTTTGTAGGGTCTCCGTCGTTTCCTTCTGGGTGTTTCAAACGTAATAACCCCTATTCAGGTATAAAAAAGAGTAAGTGTATGTGGGCTACATACAGAAAAAAGAACATTTATTAAAATTAAGTAATTTTAGATTAGTTAGGTTAGGTTGGGGACGGATCTTACCGGATAATGAAGATATACATATGCTACTAAAGCGAGCTGTCAATTGTCATACAATGAATGTGCTTAAGGGATTACCGTATGAAACATACAAAATGGAACATCCAGATACAGGATACAAAGCTCGGGAAGGATAAAGAAGTCAGTGATTTACAATCTTTAAGAGACAGTTTGACCGAAGGCTTTATGAAACTATCCTATCAAGGAAATCAGAACATGATTAATAACGAACTGAGTACTTATATAGCAACGAGATTCACGCAATCAGTCGTTAATTGAAATTCATTGAATTCGTTAAGCTCGGATGGATGCCACGAATGATTTGCATTGACACCAGAAGGTTAGGAAAAATAATTCCCATCCGTTAGGTAGCCCAAGTGAAGACGGACTTGAGAAATTTTAATGCCTCCGCCATAAGAAATTAAGTTATATTTGTGTGTTCTGTTCTCATGTGACGGCACTAATTTCTATGAGGTTCTACGACAGTTACGGAATAATATCCAGATCGGATTTATTGGTCAAAATTTTTTAAACATGTGACACTATATTTATTTATTCTTTGAGTGAAAAGAATTGCTCGCGTTCAATTAGATTTAACGAATTTCGTGGCGGAGGGAATGCTATATCCGCGCATTTATTCTACACTTTGGTTGGTTCAAAAGAAGCGTCAGACAACAGACGGCCTCTCTTAAGCCATCATTAGGTCCATTGTTCTATTAAGTGGTGACCAATTAAGCCTTATCCAGCAACTCAGTGGATTTCTTTCAAGTTGGAACATTCGGAGCCGTGGTAGCTCGTCTCTACCGGTTGAAGGCTGGGCACTCGCAAAGGTAACATTCTAGAGTCTCATCATTCTTAGCACATGCCATGCATTCTGCCGACTTCAGTTTACCAAGATTATGAAGGTGGGATCTTAGAGGTAGATGCCCTGTGATGACCCTACAAAAAAGCTAAAAGAAGCTTTCCGATCAGTACACCATCGACAATACCAGAAAGTACTTTTGTGATATGCCCTGTGCTGCTAGTTTTCCAAGACCTACTACCCAAGATTATTCTACGAAAGTTCGTTGCTTCAAACAACCCTTGAAGGAACTGAAAGTTCTAGGGCAGCAGTGAGTATTGTATTCCTGGCTGCCTCGATCGGGCCAACTCGTCTGCCTTCTCGTTTCCTTTTATATAAATGGGTACCTAGACGATTTTTAACGAGTTTCTCACTGAAAGTCTAGTTATTGTCTACTTGCATAACATAACGCATTGAGAGTTAGTGTAGACGTTAAGGATAACCTTAATTGCCGCTTGGTTATCCACTGGTATGTTGATGGATTTGCTGGTTAGAGTCGAGGCTCACTTGGTCATTTCTGTTATAAGAACAATTTCGACCTGAATGACAATGTTCACTAAATCTAATTGCAATTTGACTCCTTTATCTAGTCATGAAGAACCTTTAGATGGTTAAAACAAAAATACTAAAGTACAGCACGTTGTGCTCGGGTACAAAAACTAAAAAATGTATTATACGATATGCAAGTATAATATAATAATAGCAGCGACTCGGTCTACTAAAATAACAACAACTGAGTAAAGAATTTTGAGCGAGCAAGTTACTAAAGTAACGGAGGGTTGCAATCGTCAACAGCAATGCGGTTATATACTGAATACTCCACAGACTTAATTAATGTCCAGGTGTAAGTGTATGTATGTATGTGCGCGCAAATTTTGCATTTGTATTTGTTGTCCTCGTAGCTCATTGTAAAATGGCACCTTAATCCAACGTTCTTCGCCGCGAGTAGCGAAACTTTGTCAAAGGCACAACAAAAGCGCTAAGCACCCAACAATGGCGTAGCAGCCACTACAACAACGACTAGAACAATAATAATAACAACAACAACACTGGCAACGCAACTGCCGCATTAATCACAAACAACGCCAACAAAAAGCATTAAAGGAGAAACGAGTCCGTGGCACACAAACACCAAAGTACAACAACAACAGCAACTTAGTAAATGAAGAACAAACAATAAAACTCTACTAACAACGTAGCGCAGCAACATCGAATCCAGCATCCATCCCAAGAGCGTGGCAAGCAACCAACCATTTATTTGCAGACCAAAGCCAACCGAGATTTCGAGCACTGCTACAAATTTCTGTTTGATAAACTCTATATGTTTATGCTTATGTACTTTGAACAATTTGTTGTTGTGGTTTTTTGTACAAAAACTCCGATCAATCAAACAATTCAATATTGTAGAGACTTTTGTTGTTGAAATTTTCGCCTGATTGGGGGTGTTCTGATTGCGCCACTGCATAATGCTCGATACATACACACGCTTTCCTGTATATGTACATACATATTATACATATATCTACTATGTAGTATACCACTTACTATGTGTGCTTTGGCTCGCCTATGTATTCTTTTTGTGTTGCCTTACGAAAAGATTCAATTGCAAATCAAACAACTTTACCGATTTTAAACTCTTTCACGCCTTCAAGCAGCAAAATGGATGTTTCTTTATATAAACTTTGTGAATGTATGTTTAATGTGTGTATGTGGGAGTAAAATTCACACCTGTGCTTTTGTAAACCAAATTGCGCAAATAGAAACTGTTCACAAAGGCTTCAGTGCGAATAAAAGGCACTTTGTTTGGATTGCTGGATATGAATATGTAGTTTGTTTTACCATGATATACTGCTACGAGTCCCAAGTAAAAGATAGTGTACTTCTGCGACGACAATTCTAATTATATAATATCTATTTTAAACAACACAAGAAAAAACGCTAACTTTGACTGCAGCGAAGTTATAATAGTCCGATCTGAGCAGTTGCTTTGCAGATTTAAGCGATGCCTCGGATAATAATCTAATTGAACATTTTACCTACAATGACTTGAGTAAAGTCGTTCAGTTTGTGTGGCAGCTATAAGCTATATTGATCCGACCTGAACCATTTCTTCGGAGGTGGCATTAATCCATGCGAAATTTCGTATTGAAATAAAAAAGTTTTCCACAAAAAGAATTGAGTTGATCGGCCAATTTATATGGCTGCTATAAGCTATAGCGGTCCAATAACGGTGGTTCCGACAAATGAGCAGCTTCTTGGTGAGAAAATGTGTGTGTGCAAAATTTCAGCTCGATATCTCAAAAACGGAGGAACTAGTTCACATTTATACAGATGGACAGTCAAAAAGACGGGCATGGCTAAATCAGCTCAGCTCGTCAGGCTGATCATTATGCTTTATAGGGTCCATTAATTTTCTTTTGGGTGTTACAAACAACGTGGCAAATCTAGGACTAATATACTTGTATTTTATTATGATTAGCCTTATACAGGTGTTTAATAGATCTCTATGATATTTTTAGTGCCCCATTGAACCAATTTTTACTTTACACCTGAAGAATTTGAAGCAGCGACAATATAACGTCTGTTAGAAATAGTCAGAGTTAGGCGCTATTTACAGTTTGAGCTAATGTCTCAAAACAGGATGTATATATATATATATATAATATATCTATCTACATGTAAGCTAACAGATTTGACCCAGATCTAACAAGATCTCACAAGTTAAAAAACAAGATATTGACCTAACTAACAGTTTGAAGAGGATTCTACATAGATTTGCAGTCACAAGAACGGGTTATTTTTACTTAAGGGAGTATATATCAAAACTTATCGTACTGTGAACTCGATATAAGATGTAAGATACATTGAATGGTAGCAACAGAAAACCACATGGATGTTTATTTAAATGTCACTGGGTTAAGTTTAAAATCCTCAATTTTAAAATCCCTAAAACAAAATCCCCATATAGTATATTGTCGGTTCAACACCGAGGTGTCCAGTTCTTTTGCTTCGAAATCTTTTCTGCAATTGCGGCCTTCGGCTACGCTTCTAAAAAATTACCCTAGTCGTTCCAACATCGTGGTGCCCATAGTTCTTTCGTGTTGAACACCTTTTTGCACTGCAATTTTTTTTAAATATATTTTTCACATATATAGAGCGTGCCTTCTACTTAAAAATTTCTAAAATTATGAACAAAACAAAAAAAAAAATCAAAAAATTCACGGGTTAAAATGTAAAAACTTTATAATATTTAACTCCAATACTCATTTAAAGCCCATTGGTACACAACCTAGGGTTACCAGGCTTGTATGACGCTTAAACTAAATCTACAATAACACTCAAAGCAGATAATCCAGTAAGTATTTGATCAGTGAGTGCAGACAAATATTTGTAATCGCAGCGAAGGCGCCTACCTATTGTAGAGACACCGCTCATTTATCAACTCATTGAGCGTATACGACGACACCTTTACTTACGAACTACGCCAGCAGCGAAATTGCAGAAACTTTGCGAAGTAATTGTCCATAAATCCAGAATGTGTTTCGCGACAAATTCAAGTGGCGGCGAGTAATCATTACATTATTGCCGTCGTGCAAATCCAAAATGCACGAGTGTTTCTTGGAAACGCGAACACATTATTACCGTTAGATATGTACTTATGTATGTACATATGTTTCTCTCACTTTAGCATTCGCGCTGGCAACGCAAATTTATCCATATGATACTTAAATTCGCGTATTATCATTGAACGATTTTATTTTGTTTTAATTAGTATTTTACTTTTTTTATGGTGTTTTTCTAGTTTTTCGCGCACTCGCGCTTTCAATCTATTTTACGCTCCCACCATTTGGGCGCTAAACTGGCAGCAATAAACAACAACAAGAGCACTCGAAGTAGTAAAACAAAAAACGAAAAAAACACAAATCGCGCACACACACGACTCAAAGAACGACGTACGACTCTCAGCGAAGTAGCTTTGCTGCTTTTGTTTTGTTTTTGTATTTTGTTTAAACGGTTTTCCTCTCCGACTGGCGATTATTGGCTGCAAAATGCGGTAAAACGGAAAATTCTAATTTTCTTGCTGCTTACGCGCCGAATTACCGAACAAAACTAAATGTGACATGGCCACGAAGAGCAGGCCCAGCCAAATCGGGAGAACGCAGCAACAGCAACAGCAAGCAACACTCGCATAACCAGCAACAACAACAGCAATAATAATCAAACAGGCATGCATACATACACACATACACATGTAATCAACAACATAAATGGCAATGCAATAGCAACAACAACAACACGGTGGTATTACAAAACAGCCATAACAAGCAACAAAAACAACAACAACGAAACAAGCAACAGCGCTGCCAAAAAGCATCCTAGCCCCGCAAGCCAGCAATGACTACCAACAACTCGGGCACTGTCGGCTCCAATACAACAACAGCAACAGGGACAGCATTGACGGTGGAAAGCACGCCAGCGAGCTAGTCAAAGCAAGCCAATGAGTTCATACATACTCGTGCATACCGCGCACACCAAATCAACCAGTCATGCATATACACACATATAAACAGCCCACCGTCAACAACAACAACGACAATGCAGATATGTTAAAGTGCAAAAAAAGAAGAAAGAACTGTTAAAAAGTTAAAGAAATGGCAGCATGGGAACAACTAACAGCAACAAGCTGTGTGGAACACCGAGCAGCGCAGCTTTAAAGGCCAGCGAAAGAAAAATAAGCAGTCGCAGAAGGCAGAAAAAGTGGGGGCAGTCGACAGCACGGACTCGAGTGAGCATAACAGAGCGACGCCGGCGAAGGCAGAGACGTTGACGATGGCGATGGTGAATGAGGAAGGAATGTCGGCGTCGTTTGCGATTTATACGAAAAATGCATGCATGCACATATGAGCATGTGTGTGTGTGTGCATATCTATGTATGTAAGTAGTGCATGCTTTCTGCAAATACCAAAATAAACAAAAAGCGTGACAATAATGTACAGTACTCAGAAATGGCGTTGTATAAATAATCTTTGCCACATGTGTGTATATGTGTGTGTGGTCAACTCAAATCATGCGAATGTGCACATTTGTTCAATCAACGGACAAGTTCAGCGATTCAGAAGCAGAAAATAATAGGGTTACAATATGATGAATGTCTTTTAGGTCTGAAAGTAGAAAGTAGTTCTTAAAATATTCATATATTTAAATAATTTATGAAACTTTAGAACGATGGGTATCACTGCAAAAAAGTTTGAAAAAAAGAGAAAAACAAGCAAAGGGATATAAAAGATCCTTATATTGGTTTTGATTTGTATGACAACTACATATGTATGTATGTACATACAGGTATATGCTATAGTGGTCTGATATGAACAATAAATTCGGATATTTTAGCATTGCCTTAGACAATAATTCTTAACAAATTTTTTGCAGATATCTTGTGAAATGAAAAAGTTGTCCATACAAGGACTTGAGATTAAATAATCAGTTTGAAGGACAGCTCTATGCTCTAGTCTTCCGATAACGGTGATCGATATCTCAAAAACTGAGGGACTAGTCGTATATAAAGGCAGACAGACAGTCAGACATGGCTCAAAAGCAAGCTTATAACGCTGATCATTTACATGTATGTATATGAACAAAACTTTATATGGTAGTCGACATTTCCTTCTGGGTTTTACAAACTTCGTAACTTACGTAATATACCCTGTTCAGGGTATTATCATTAATAATTCTTGCTGTCCCCATTCTCTTGAAGCTAAGTAAGAAACATTACGAAGATAAGACATTACGAGATATTATAGATATATATAGACGTCCGTTCTTAGCAAGTTTCACTATGTGCTTTCTACTTATTGTGAGTAGGAACATTCAAATTTGGTCGCCTTAGTTGCTTGAATATAGGATTTATGGCGCAAAACCTCATATCTGAATAATCGGTTAAATAGAGATTTGTTACAACAATCCGAGCCCGATCATTTCCGGTATCCACTTCCAATACCAGCGAGGAAAATATTTGACAACATTTCATGGTTGTAAATAATAAATTTTATAAGTAACCGTATAAATGAACAATCAGTTGTATGCAAGTTTAATTATATAGGCAGATATTTCAACACTGAGATACCAATTTATTGTTGTCAGAGATATACATACATATGTATGTGTAAGTAAACATAGTAAGATAACCTCTCCGCTAATTTTGGTACGATATTTATGCTTCATTTTAAAGCTGATTTTTTTACCATCTGATCATATTTAATCAGGTCCTTATAAACTGCGCGTTTAAACCAAATGGATAAAGAATATTTCCTAAATTGGTACAACCTTTCTTCAAGTTTGTGTGAAGTTTGATCTCCATATGTCAGTAATCGACCGTTTATTTATTGTAGTACACCAAAAAATTGTCTAATGATTTTTCCGATGGAAAAGAAAACGAAATAACGAGTTTTCTTGAACCTTTGTGTTCCCAATGGATTCACTGCAAAGGAATCGTTGCAAATGTTGCAGAAATCTTTTGAGGAGTCGACTTTATAGCGTCGTGAAGTCTTCGATAACTGCACTCATGCGAATCGTGCACTCATAGAGATCGATTAATGACGACAACATTTTAAGAATATGACGTCAAAACTGTCCAAATACCTAACAAATGGCGATCCAACAATGAGCTTAAACTGAAATAACAAAATTCCAGCCAAAGCTTAAAGCAAGTGAAAAATTATATTAAATGTTTACATCTTATACTGATTCAAAAGCATATTTTAAAGACAATAATAAAGATTTATACGTGAAATTTTAATATCAGTCCGGATCAAATTTGATCTCATCTACACATAAATCGAAAAGTACAATATTGAGCATTTCATACGTACGGAAGCTATAATTCTAATGTGTTCTAGGATCTCCAAGCATGCATCAATTTGATCATAAACAGGGCATCGACTAAGATCATCAGAGAACCGTCTTTACTGGTATTAACGAACCGAACTATTTTTAATGCATTTTCTAAAACTTTTACGAGCATCTCTGTCGTTATAGCCATGATTTTGGAATCAGTTTTGACATGAGGTAGTCAAGGGTTCCCACAAAATTCATTAGGGAAGCCAAATTTGGGCATCTAAGTAGCTTGCCAAACTTTTTTTTTTTTTGACAGCAATTTTATTGAAACCAGTAAATAGCAAATGAACCAAAATCTATTGATACCGACTTCCATCGACTATTCAGAAATATTATCTTTGACGTACAGAAAAGCTATTCAGTGGTTATCTTAGTTAGTCGTCCGCTAGGATTTTCTGATTTGTTGTTTATAGTAGAATGCACACCTAGATTGTTCTAAGCCCTGATTCAATGAAAATTTCTGGTAAAACGGAGTAAATTTCCATAGGACAGATGAACTCCACACATCTCTTATTCGCAAAGCAGACATTGACTTTTATGAGGTTGGTCTAGAGTTCGAAAAACTCAACAATTTAGGGTGTGTTTTCAATAGAATTGATGGCAAATCAGATCTGTTTAGACCAAATTTAGAATATTATCACAGGGCATATATATTTAAATGTATTTGTATGTACTTGCCATACTTCCTAGATAATAATGAAAATGTTTTTTTTTATTTGATAGCAGTACCAATACAATTTGGTAATGATTGTCATTAATGTTTTACTACTAATTAATAAACAGAGACCACCAATAATTTTGTGTTGTATATATATGTTTATGGTTTTAGCTGGAAGAATGATATCTACAGTTACAAAGTGATGCCTGTGAATTATGGAAATCTGTTCCCAAGCGTTCAAGTTCTCTGATTCAGAAGTAAAAAAGGCATAGTAGTTTTGCCGACGTTCATAAGAGTCCTTTCCTCTTTCACGCTCCAAGCTCCAAGATTTTTCTTGTGATGATGCTAAGGATAATGTGCTCGTAAGATGGACTGATGTAGCTCGTGACAGAAGGTCCATCGATCTATGAAACTCATACCCACATAACGTTTTGCTTTACTAAAATATAGAAAATATATTGGAGTCACAGAGTATAAACGGAGGACCTCTGTGCACAAGATTACGCAACTCCGATAAAATTTTGCTGATAGTAATTAAAAATTGTGCCGTAATAAATGTCCTAGTTTGAGTTGTTGATTTACTTTGTTATTTTAACGATTATTTTTGCGCAACTCGCCCTTCTGTAAAAAGGAACCAGATATCACTTTACATTCTCACGGCTTTCAAATGAACTCAACTAAGTCCTTACTTTAACAAAAACAACGAATATCTCCAGCGAAAGGGAAATGAATAAACTCATCTGACATATGTATGTGAGAGTGCGAATACAAATAAATTTATGCTCAGCATTTTAATGAAAACGAAACACAGTGCGACCACAACAAGTTAAAGGGACAACGCCGATTAAAGTGACGGCTGAGCATGAGCGCAGTGACGCAGGGCGGAAGTGCATATGTACATACGTAAACTAATAATAAAATAAATGCAACAAATAACAATAGGAATGGTTGAAAATGGAACACATGTGATGGCAATGAAGACGAATGAAGCGTGGAAGAGGCGCAAGAGGGAGAAGAAGAAGACAGACTACCACAAAACGAAGCAAAACTGGAGGCAAGAGAACTCCAAAAGCTCGAGCAATGAAGCTCGATACGACTGGGACCAGTGATAAGGGGGGCGAAGAGGGAGTGTTGTTGTGACAGTTGGCAGAACGCAAAAGAGTGTTGGGCATAAGAACTACAGCAAGAATTGCAACAACTTTGCACTTGTTTTTGTATGTGTGGCAGCTTAAGCTGGCAGCCAACGAAGGCAGGCGACAACAATAGCAACAGTAACAGTAACAACGACAATAGCAGTCAATATGAATAAATGTATGTGGAGTATGCGAGGCACAAACACCTACAGCAGCAACAACAGCAACAACGACGACTCCAAAAGTGTATATGGAGTACACCCGTTCATGGCGATGACGACGACGACGACGACGTCGAAGCCGATGATGATGATAACGTCGTTGATGATGATGATACCCGTAGCTTGTGCAACGGTTGCGGTGAGCAGCGGACCAGCAAAGCAAAATGCTGAGTAGCGGCGCAGGACAATGCAATCAAATAACGGCAGAGGTTAGCCAAACGGCATGGCATAGCGTCGCTGAGTTAGTGGCATGCAAAAGCAGCGTGCAACACAAGGAAATCTGTATTGGAAATGCGAGTGAGGCGGGCGAGTGGCTTGTGGCGAGCAATTGCAGCCCAACTGTTCAATGTGGCAGACGGGCGACTGGAGTACATGTGGAGTTCACTGAAGTGGAACAGGAGTAGAATGAAGTGCAGCGATGAGTAAACGAGTGCAACAATAATGTGGTGGTGTTGGTGGTGGTGGTGGACAAATGTGGTGGCATGCTTTGCCGTCGTCGAATTCATGTGGCGTCGCAGGAAGGCGACAATGCAGAATGACGGCGGCGGTGTGTGTAGCACAGAGTAAAGGGAGGACGGGTGCTAGTGGTGGCGAAGTAGTGTGGTGTGGTGTAGTTGAGTAGGCAGCAGCAGGAAATGAAGATGCGCTTCATACTAAAACACACACGCA